ATTTTAGTCACAAATTAGAGGAACATATGAAGGCTAAACTAATTGAAATGAAGGGAATTGCACAGGAAACCAATAGTGATGGAAAGGAAACTGGGACTCAAATCAAGGGAGTGGACCAGAAGGAAAGAAAAAATGGCCAAACAGGAAAATATGAAGAAACAAGAATTCAAAAAAATGAGGAGAGTCTTAGGAACCTCCAGGACATCTTTAAATGCTCCAACATCCGAATTATAGGGGTACCAGAAGGGGGAAAGGAACAGCCACCAGTGGAAAACTTATTTGAACAAATAGTAAAGGAGAACTTCCCCAATCTGGCAAAGGAAATAGACTTCCAGGAAATCCAGGAAGCTCAGAGAGTCCCAAAGAAGTTGGACCCAAGAAGAAACACACCAAGGCACATCATCATTACATTAGCCAAGATTAAAATGAAGGAGAGAATCCTAGAAGCAGCAAGAGATAAGGGGACAGTCACCTACAAAGGAGCTCCCATCAGACTGTCAGCTGATTTCTCAAAAGAGACCTTACAGGCAAGAAGGGGCTGGAAAGAGGTATTCCAAGTCATGAAATCTAAAGATCTACAACCAAGATTGCTCTACTGTCCAGCAAAACTTTCATTTAGAATGGAAGGACAGATAAAGTGCTTCTCAGATAAGATCAAATTCAAGGAGTTCATCATCACCAAGCCCTTATTGTATGAAATGTTAAAGGGACTTATCTAAGAAAAAGAAGATAAAAAATATGAACAGAGAAAGGACAGCAAACTCACAGTCATTAACAACCACACCTAAAACAAAAGCAAACTAAGAGGACAGCTAGATCAGGAGCAGAACCACAGAAATGAAGATCACATGGAGGGTTATCAACAGGGGAGTGAGAGGAGGAGAAGGGGGGAGAAGGTACAGAAAATAAGTAGCATAGACGGTAGGTAGAAAATAAATAGGGGGGAGGGCAAGAATAGTATGGGAAATATAGAATCTAAAGAACTTGAGACACATGGTCATAAACTAAAGGGGGAGAATGGTGGGGGCGAAGGGTGGGGTGGAGGGGAATGAAGGGGGGAATAGAACAACTGTAATGGCATAATCAATAAAATAAAATAAAAAAGACACTAAAAAAAAACCCATCTAATTTGCTTTAGTGATTATCCTGAAGGCTAAGAGCAGTATTTCTCAGTTGGCTCAATTTTGCCCCTCTTGGGACACTTGGCAATGTCTGGAAACCTCTTTAGTTATGACAAATAAGGGATGGTACTGGCATCTAGTAGGTTGAGGCCAAGGATGCCACTAAACAAAGATGCACAAACAGCCAGGGCTGCCTCTAAAACAAAGAATTATCTGGCACAGAATGTTAATAGTGCCAAGGCTGAGAAACCCTGGCAGAGTTTAAAAGAGCAAGTAGACTCTAAAGAAGGATGTTCTGCCAGTTCTTTTTCCTATCTCAGAAGTGGAGAAAGTCAACTTGAGTTACAGGGTAGAGAGGGATCAACTTGAAATCAGCTTATTTTTTAAGAAACAAAGGTTTTCCGACTTCCGCCAAATGGAGGCATAGGTGGATATACCGTGCCTTCTCACACAACCAAGTTTAGAGACAACTAAATATTAGCAACAGAAAACACAGCCAGAACACAGAATATTGAACTTTTCGGAAGTCTGTTAACAACAAATGCTTCAGCCTGACCGGTAAGGGGCGAAACCAGCAGCTGGTGGAGTGGGGTTGCACAGGAAAACTTGGTCAGATGGACTCAGGCGCGTGGAATCCAGGTGCAAGGTTGGACCTAGTGAGCGACCCAGCCAGCGACCAAGCGAGCGACCTCGGGGAAACAGTGAGGGAGCAGGACTGAAGGTTGACTGTGGTCGGGCATTTGTGCGCAGATAGACCAGGGAGGAAGTAAGGGCGGTGAGATGGGACCCAGCAGGCCCCAGCGGTGAGAGCAACAGATGGTGCCGCCATTTCCCCGCTCTGACCACGCCCCCAAACACAGCGTCACAACCCAGCGACCTGGGAGGCCCGGAAGGCTCTGCTCCTCGCACTTAAAGGGCAAGAACAGACCAAAAATGGCTCAAGAAGATCTCAAAGCCCCAGAGCCTATAAATCTAAGTGATGAAGAAATAGCAAAACTCTCAGACGCACAGTTTCAAACACTGGTGATCAGGATCCTCACAGAACTGGTTGATTATAGCCACAAATTAGACAAATATGTGAAGGTGAAACTAATTGAAATGAATGGAATTACACAGGAAACCAATAGTGATGGAAAGGAAACTGGGACTCAAATCAAGGGAGTGGACCAGAAGAAAGCAAATAATGGCCAAACAGAAAATATGAAGAAGCAAGAATTCAAAGAAATGAGGAGAGTCTTAGGAACCTCCAGGACATCTTTAAACGCTCCAACATCCGAATTATAGGGGTACCAGAAGGGGGGAAAGGAACAGCCACCAGTGGAAAACTTATTTGAACAAATAGTAAAGGAGAACTTCCCCAATCTGGCAAAGGAAATAGACTTCCAGGAAATCCAGGAAGCTCAGAGAGTCCCAAAGAAGTTGGACCCAAGAAGAAACACACCAAGGCACATCATCATTACATTAGCCAAGATTAAAATGAAGGAGAGAATCCTAGAAGCAGCAAGAGATAAGGGGACAGTCACCTACAAAGGAGCTCCCATCAGACTGTCAGCGGATTTCTCAAAAGAGACCTTACAGGCAAGAAGGGGCTGGAAAGAGGTATTCCAAGTCATGAAATCTAAAGATCTACAACCAAGATTGCTCTACTGTCCAGCAAAACTTTCATTTAGAATGGAAGGACAGATAAAGTGCTTCTCAGATAAGATCAAATTCAAGGAGTTCATCATCACCAAGCCCTTATTGTATGAAATGTTAAAGGGACTTATCTAAGAAAAAGAAGTTAAAAAAACATGAACAGTGAAAGGACAGCAAACTCACAGTTATTAACAACCACACCTAAAACAAAAGCAAACTAAAAGGACAGCTAGATCAGGAGTGGAAACATAGAAATGAAGATCTCAAGGAGGGTTAGCAACAGGGGAGTGGGAGGAGGAGAAGGGGGGAGAAGGTACAGAAAATAAGTAGCATAGACAATAGATGGGGGGGCAAGAATAGTATGGGAAATATAGAATCTAAAGAACTTGAGACACATGGTCATAAACTAAAGGAGTGGGGTAATGTGGATGGGGAGGTAGGGTGGAAGGGAATGAAGGGGGGAATAGAACAACTGTAATGGCATAATCAATAAAAAATAAATTAAATTTAAAAAAATTTTTAAAAATAGTAAAAAAAAAAAAGAAACAAAGGTTTTCCTACTTGCCCCTAGGCTGGGATAAAACAAGAACTGAAAGTATTTAAGCATAGTTAATCAGCCTGAAGACAACATTCATTCATTTTCTCAAAATGGCATGCCTTTTGAGAAAAAAAATTTAATGCAATAGCTCCCCAGGACAAACCTTGGGCAGAAACTTACCTGGCTCTGCCACCACCTGGAGATAAAAAGAGGTCTGTGTTTAGACCGTTCAAGGCCAGGCAGGTTCATGGTATTCATGCAGACAGAGAAATATTCACAGAGCCATTGGGATGTCTGGCATGCCTTTATTCATGGTTGGGCATGAATAAAGCCCCTGTCTAGAGAGCAGCCTCCACTTGTTTAAGTGCTAGAGGTGAACAAAGCCGGAAAACAGCCAGAACATTATATAACTTAATTCTGCACATGCGTGCCCACTTCATGTTATGGGAACAGTTTATCGGACCCAGTCTCAAGGCTGTGAGAACACTACTAATCAGGCCCCTCCAAGGCTATGAGAACACTGCTTCCCTTAGTTACCCAGACACCTGGGTGAGGAAGCCAGACTGCCTCCACTTATCCTACAGGGTCTCTCTACAAAGGTCATACCCTGGAAGTGACACCCTTCCTCATCACTGCAGTAGCAAGGCACACACAGCCAGGCCCTGCACACAGCACCCCTCTCATGTGAGGAGCTGCAGACAGCCAATCAAGGGCTGTAAATAAGGTGACCCTGGAATCCCACGTTACACCATTGTCCTGACGTACATACATATCACCTCCCTTCACTCTCAAAGAGGCAGGAAATTACAAGATGATCTTGTAACATCTTGCCCCACCAGAAAACAAACTGTCAAAGATGATTAAGGTTGTGTCAAAAAGAATCCGGAGCCAAGTTAAAACAGGCTCCCACTGGCCAAAGGTGAAATGATTTCAGCATCATTAAGAATAACTGCAGTGAACTGATTTAAATCCATAAATCCATTTTGATTTTTAAAAAGTAATTCATCACTTTTACAGGAAGCAAAGCAGCCAGATCATTATTGTGAAAACAGATTAATGGAAGAGAGATTAAAGTTTTTCCTTTCCTCTATGAACTGAATCTAAGAGTGACCCAAGTTAATGAAAGGAAGTTTCTTACAGAAGCATTTTCTAGCTAATAATCATTTATAGAGTTAATAAAATAAGTGGATCTAAGCTCCTGATATTATGTAACAAGAAACCACCAGACATGACATCATCTACATGTTCTTGAAAAGTGTGGAATACGAATCTGCTTACATCGCTAAACCTTGTAAGTTCTTTGTTGATACAGAGGTCAGAGAGCTGTATTAAACAATGCCATGGATATGCAAACAATAAGCATTGATGGCTGTGTAGGATAAGGCCTGAGAAATAAACATTTCTCAGGATAAGTAATCCAGGATTACAGGATAAGAAATCCAGTTGTTTCAGTGAATGTATTTCAAGAGGGAAAAAGAATAGAAGCTATAGATTATTAGACTTAGAAGACAATCCAATTAAAATTATGAATCTTGGGTCTTAAAGCTTCTAAAAGAATTTGTGGGAGGTTTAAAATAATAATCAAGAATTAAGGAATTGTTAACTTTTAGGCATAATAGTATTGTGGTTATTCTTTTAGAGACCTTACCCTTTAGAGGTACACACTAAAATATTTATAAACATTTGAAATTTATTTCAAAGTTCTTCAGTGAGGGAGGAAGATTGGGAGAGGGTAGAGATAAAGCAATACTATGAGTTTACAATGTTTAGTTAAAAGATGGTTAACACATGAGGATTCACTTATACATGTTTGAAATTTTCTATTCTAAAAATATTTCTAAATAGAAAAATACAGAAAATAAAATATTTGACATTTGAGTAGGTATAAAAATAAGGTTACTACCATTACATGGGAAAATTCTCTTTGGAGGCACTTTTGAAGCACTGTCCCTAAGCTTTGGCCTCTAAGCACACAGTGGAGCCCAAGTGGGAAAGACAGCAAGGCCTAACTTTATTGAAGCTTACCTCCGGATATTTCAACTGGCTGCAAACCCAGAGACCTGTCTGGCTAAGTGTGTGATCAAAGAGAATACAATTCAGGTAAACAGAAAAGAGCACTGATGAGCAACTCACCACCCCCTGGTAGTCCCATGCTCCCTTCCAGCTTTGGAATATAATGGACCTCTCAGAGAAGGCCAAACTCAGGCCAGGTCAGGTCCCATGTCCTATAGACCTGAAGCCAGAGGTTTAGCAAAAACCTTCCACTGGGTTTGGCTGCAAGGTGGCCAGCATCAAACTTTGCCTGGCTTGTATGGGAAGTGGGGAAAAATAAGCTGATTTTGAATCTGGACCTCAATGTTGCTGAAAAGTCCAGTATCTCAGATAGTAGATGTGTTAGATACATCCTGCTTATTACAACCCCGTGGGGACAGCTGATGGCCCAGAAGGTCATTCACTAAATCAAAATTAAACACCATGGCTACCTCCCAATAAATGGGTAAAATAATGAGCTTCAAAACAGACTGAGTAATGCAACTCTGTGTGTTGAAATCATTACCATTTATCTTTTTTACAACAGAAATTGGGGGGGATCTCAGTAAAAGAATATTAAGAGGCATCATGAGACAAATCACATCAAAAGACGAACTTTCTCAGCACCAGCACTCAGAGGCACAGAACCACAACACCGCAGTGCAGTCCATGCAAATTTCAGTCTCCGGAACTTCAGACAGGAAGGAAACCCTTTGGTGATGGCAAAATAATAAAAGAAACCTTAAAGAGTTATAAACACTGCATCTTATTTTTAAAGAAATATATTTTTTAAATGCCTATAAACATCTTTATTTTTCCTAAATTGGCACTCTCATGCAAAACAGATTGTTACCATCTCATCATCTCCAGTTGGCACTCGGGACCCCAAGCACTTCACAAGGATCTAGATGCACCAAGAACAGAGATTACTCAGTAACAAGAGGTAGGTAGGGAATGCATTTCAGGGCAAGAAGCTGACAGGACCGAGACACAGGCTCAGATCCCAGGTTCAGAAGGTTCATAGGAACATCCACAGGCTCCATGTTGGGTGGTTCAGAAGATCAAATACATTCACTAAAATACAAGCTTTACAAGGTCAATGATTTTCCCATTTTATCCACTGATACATCTTGAGCACCTAAAGAGTTCCTGGCACACTGCTGGACATGAATAAATATATATGGAATTAATCAAGTGGGAACACAAAGAAAAGCATTTTATATACTGTACAGTGCCATCAAATATAAAGTATTAATACTAGTTCATCTTTTAGACTTATTAGATCTTTATACAGAACTGAATGCTTTCTTAAAATACATCTTTATTCAGTGATCAATAGCAAAATATTTATTTCCTAATAGATATGTGGATAGCCGCTGTAGTACAAGGAATTGAATGGGGAAACTTTACAGATGAAGGCAGAATGTTACAAAGGGGGCTACAAATAAAGTAAAATAAATGAGGCTGCCTGAGTGATCCAAACTGTGGAGGGAAAGATCCAGCACCCAAGCAGACTGGGCAGAATGAGTGAGCACAAGAAAACCTTCTCACATGCCACTCACCACAAAATGTAACTAATAATACAATATTTAATGGGTTTGTGTTGGTGCTTCCAGTGCTAAATCACAAGCTCCAGGAGAACAAGGTCTCATCTGTCTCATTAACCACTGTAATCCCAGTGCCAGGCATATAGTAGGTGTTCAATAAATATTTATTAAATGGACGAGAGTAGAAGGAGACAGTCTGTATCCTGACAGGTAAGATGCAGACCTCAGAAAAATAAGTTCAAACTGCTAACACTGGACAAAATTTTACCTTGACCATCAGTCTTGCTCAGGAGACGGCGGATATGAACATCCAACTCAAGGAGAAAAAACCTCAAGGTGAACTAAAACTCAAGATATTGTTTCCCCAAAAGATGATAAGAAAAACTGTTAGCACTACCTAGGTAAGAGATGGAAGAGGCTGTGATCTCTGGGAACTCAGAGACTTGAACTAGGACTTGCCCTTTTTCCTTCTGAACAAGTGGAAAGCAAAAGGGTCAAAGTGTCTTTCTGCAACCCATAACCCCACAGTGAGTAAAGATGTGGGAAGGTCTCCCTCTCCTTCCAAACTCCTGGAAGGTCTCCCTCTACTTGGTGGTCTTGCAAGGTCTCACCCTGTCCAGCACTTTCCATTAGCAAAAGATGCATTTCCACAGGGCACCCTTACTGCACAGGGATCTCCTGGCGATGCTGAGTTTTCTGGTGGCGGTTGAGAATGGACCTCTGGTTGAAGCTCCTCCCACAGGCAGGGCAGTGGTAGGGCTTCTCCCCCGTGTGGATCCTCTGGTGTCTGACCAGCCGCTCCCCTTTACTGAACCGTTTCCCACACACCTGGCACCCGTATGGCTTCTCCCCGGTGTGGGCTCGCCGGTGCACAGCCAGGTTGGCATTCCTGCTAAAGCTCTTGCCACACTCACAGGTGTAGGGCTTTTCTCCAGTGTGAGTTCTCCGATGCACCTGGAGATGCTGTCTCCGGCTGAAGCTTTTCCAACAGTCCCCACACTTATAGGGCTTCTCCCCTGTGTGACTCCGCTGGTGGACCTCCAGGTGGTGTCTCTGACTGAAGGTTTTCCAGCACTCACTGCACACATAGGGTCTCTTTCCCAGGTGGGTTCTCTGGTGCTTCATGAGGTATTCTCTCAGAGTAAACCCTTTCCCACACTCAATGCAGCCATAGGATTTTTCTTCTTCATGGGTTCGCTGATGTCTGACAAGATTTGAGCTCCGACTGAAGCCTTTACCACACTCGGGGCACTGAAAAGGCTTCCAGAAGGAGCTGTGAGTCTTGAGGTCACTGGGCATGGGTAGGATGCCATGCTGGGGAGGAGGAGGCCCTGGCATGTTTCCCACAGAGTTACCAGGCTCCTGCTCACAGGTTCTTCCAAGCTCAGGGCTCTGGAGAGCAGCTTCCCCAAACCTCTCTGATGTGCCCTGAGCAAGCACCCCTTTGAGCTCTGCCTGCTGGACTTTGGCCTCCTTTTCCTTGCTCCCAATACCTGCAGGGCAAGGAGACACAGACTGATTCTGTAACAGCTAGGAAGTAAATTTATGTTAGAACTAATTCCTTCTTTTTTCCTTCAACCAACAACCTCAATACATTTTACTTTCTTTGACCTTCAAGCCAAACTTTCCTTTACTTCTTTCCACCTCTGTCATGGACTGAATGTCTGCCCCATCTCCAAATTCACAGGTTGAGGCCCTAAGCCCCAGTGGGATGCTATCAGAAGGCAGGGAGAAACCAGAACTCTCTCTCTGAACAAACACAAAGAAGTCCTGTGGCCATGATCCCTCATGATGGGATTAGTGCTCTTATGAAAAAGAGACACAGATCTGTCTCTCCCCGCTGCCCACCCCCTCTCTCTGCCTTATCAGGTCAAGTCAAGAAGGTGTTGTCTGCAAACCAGGAAGAGGGCCCACATCAGACACAGAATCTGTTGGCACCCTGTACTTCCCAGCCTCCAAAACTGTGAGAGATAAATGTCCATTGTTTAAATCACCCAGTCTTTAGTAATCTATTGTAGAAGCCCAAGCAAAAAAACAAATTCCACGCCTTTTTAGAGAAGAGTCTACCAAATTTTAATGTGTTCCTACTTAACTTTCTAAGTTGGACTCTTTTATTTCCTTCAAAATCTGACTCAATGAGTTCTTAAAAATACACCCTGATTGTTCTCTTACTGTGGATCTCTTCAGCACAAATATATTCAATTAGCACTTTATTTATTCTGTACTTATTTATCTATGACCTTGTTGTAACTGCTACTTTACATCCATCCAAACATTTTGCCTTCCTCGGTGACTATAAACCTATTCCAGCAATGGTGAACTACTTGCAGCTCTCCATATCGTACATCACCTGCTCAGGCCACTGTCCCCACTCCCACTGCTCCTTCCACCTAGCCTTGTTTTACTAATATGGGTCTCCTGAGAGCCCAGCACAGTGTCTGACTCAAGGAAGGTGCTTAATGACTGCTGGAAGAACAAATGAACCCAGTTTGTCACTGACATTCTTATACCAGACCACCTCTACTATAGCGTCTTCATTAAGACCAAAACGCCTGTGAAGGCTACTGAAATGCCTTGCCCCTTCTAGAAGTCCTTCCTCTGGTCCCTCTTATACTCTCTCTAAATTAACAGAACAATTGTTTACAGGAGAACAAGAGAAAAGGGAAGAGAAAAGGTGAGATTAAATTCCTTTTAATAGGAAGCAAGGAAGGCAAGAGAAAAATGGCAAGTGGTACTTAAATTGAAAAAAGAGTCCTTTCAGGCAAGATCATTAAAAGATTAAAAAAAGAGACATTACATGCCTCCTGATTTGATTAAAATATGAAGGGCACAGCTATCAACCCTGAGGTATTGTTTCATGAACTTTCCGTGAAAGTGTACAAAAAAATAAATGGAGAATTCAAAAGAATTTTCATAATGAACACACCCCTATAAACAGCATCCAGTTTAAGAAACATTACCAGCACCCAGAAATTCCTCTCCCATCCCCTCCAGCTACTACATCCTGCCCTCAGGGTAACATACTATCCCCACCTTTATCACCATAAAGCACATTTGCCTGTTCTTGAACTTTACATAATTGATCCACATTGTTTCTGGCTTCTGCTCAATATTACTATGCTTGTGAGATTCACACATATTGTGGTGAGTAGCTGTAGTTACACTACATTCTTTTTCACTGGTATAAGTATTACAGTCTAAGAATATATTCCAACCTCTTTAGTATTTTCACTGACGTCCTTTTGGGTAGTTTCCAGTTTTGAGGTGTTATGAATAGTAAAATTAAATCTAAATGCAATGTGTGAACCTTAACTAGACCCTAAGGAAAGGCAAATATGTATTATATACTACGGAACGGAGGCCGGAAAATGTTTATTTCTCAGGCTTTATCCTACACAGCCATCAATGCCAGAGCTGCAACTACTGGGGAATAAATGTCAGGAAGACCTGAAGGTTGAAGCAGCTAGCAGACAGTGTGTTTGAGAAGCAGACCTTCACCTCACCTAGCCTCAACGTAAGCGCTTAGGGAAGTACTAGGGTTGTTCTGAAGCAATGAGTGGCTAAGAGGACAAACATACAGAGAGTCTCTAGAATAGTCAAAAAAGGCCAGGATGATGTAAACCCCCCACGAACAAGAGGGCAGAATCCTTCCCCACACAGTGGCATCACTGGCAGAGGTATATCACCGATGGGGATTAAGACACTAGAATGATGGGACCTCTATTTGGGACATGCTGCATGAGACCCTGCACTGTGCAGTAACCTCTGAGGGTTTCTACATCCTCTGCCACCGAGGAATCGCACATCTCCTTCTCATGGTGTGACAGACAACCTTGTACTGGGCCTAGGTCTCCCGAGCCCCTTCCTCTAGTGCTCCTTGCACTGCTCCATAATGAGCATCATTATTATTTTTTAATGTACGTCAGTTGCTTTTATTTTGTCAACTTTTTTTCTCCACAAATATCGTAGGATTTTTTAAATCATTTAAACCATTTTAAGTGTACAGCTCAGTAGTTTTAAGTACATTCACACTGTTATACAACTAATCTCTAGAATTCTATTCATCTTGCAAAACTGCAATTTTGTCTCCATTAAGCAACTCCCCATTCTCCCCTGCCCCAATCCCAGGCAACCATGAATTTACCTTCTGTTCCTATGAATTTGACTATATTATAGATATCGCATGTAAATATGATCATACACTATTTGTCCTTTTGTGCCTGGCTTGTATCACTGAGCATAATGTCCATAATCAGCATTATTATAGGCACTTGGGGTCTTCATCTGACTGTTAAAATCATGGAGGCATTTTTATAATCATAATCATAATCATGATTATAATCATAATCATTTTTAGCCTTTCACAGTGACTACTATGTGGATTGTTGGCCACACAGCAAATGCCAAATAAATATTTTTGGATAAATAGATGAATGAATGCTCACTGACTCATAAGGAAATAACTTAATACTTATACAACTAATAAAAATATCTAACACTATCATGCTTGCCAAATGTTTAAATTTATTATCTCATTAAATCCTCACCGCGCCAAGAAATAGATTTATTCTCATTAAATTCTCACCGCACCAAGAGACAGTGTTATATGAATATCCCCACTTTACAACTAAGAAAACTGAGACCTGAAAAGGTCAAGGGAGAAGCCCAAGGACACAGTAAGTAGTGAAGCCAGCATGGGTTCTCTCAGGTCCTGAGGGAAATACAATAATACTCTTATTCAGCCCTCCACATATATCAAGACAAAAAAAGGCCAGGTGAAGTCAGGACCTATGAGTGGTCAGTACATAACTTACAAAGAAGTTATTAAAGGGGAAAAAAGAGAATTAGAGAAAACAAAGGAATGGGCCACCCTCGTTTCTTTTCCTGTCTCCACTGTGCTCCCCATTCAGCCCACAGAGACCTTCCACACTATTTTTCACTCTGGAAATTCCCCAGCCCCTGCATTGGCCCCTGCTGGCTTTCCCATTAGGGCCTTCACCCTGGTAACCCTTCCCGCCTCTTTTCCTGCTCATGTTTCCTGCACACGAGCTCTTTACATGTGCATGATGGCCAAGTGCCCCCAGCTCTCATCTCAGGTAAAACCTAGCCATCAGGTGAGACAGGCCAAGCCAGGTTCTGCTTGCCCCATGACACAGGCCCACACTGACCCTTCCTGTCTCTAAAACCCTACTATGGGTTCTCATGCCCTACTCTAGATGTCTACTCTATATGCCCCGAAGGTTTCATGTACACTAGTCTCCCCCAACTCAAAGCTAAGCTGGGGCCTACATGCAGAGGACATTGAATAAACACGTGCTTAGTGAATGAGATCAGAGGTTCCATCTTTTGTTGCTTTTCTCTTGCTCTCAAGCCTTCAATACACTTCAATCATGTATACAGATTAGGTCCTCAGGAATCCTAATGACCAACGTGTCCCACTGCAGCCAGAATAACTACCTCATATTTTCTTGCCTCTTGCCTTCTCATATGACACAGCAATGTGCCTAGCCAGTTCTCACCCCCTTGGCCCATGCTCTTTGATCTCATTTATTCATCTGCCATGAAATCCCCTTCCTTTGACAGCAGTACTCGGTTCTGACGTCCAGAACAAGGTTGTAGCTTTCGAAATGCCTGTTTCTTACCTGAAAACAGTCTTACCTGGAGGTGAGACTCCACAGGCCTGTGGTTCCACGTATTCCCCAAAGCAGTCTATCTGGGCTGGGGTCACATGTCGCCACTCTTCTTCTGGGAAGGCCAGAGTCATATCTTTAAATGGTCCCAAACCCTGAAAAACCAGGAGACTGCTATGGATAAAGAAATAATCCCAAAGTAGGAGCAATCTAAAAGCAGAGTGACTAGAGGGGACAATACTCTAGAGAACAAAGCAAGAAGATCAAGGAACCAGGGTCCTTAGCTGGCCTTGGAAGCAGAAGTGCCTGCCTCTCAACAAAGAGTAATGAACTGGTTTGAGCCACTTTATTTTTCAGTCTCTGCTGTAGATGCTTAGCCTGTACCTAATAAACACAGCATCCAATTTCCACTTTCCAATCGCCACTACTTAATCCTTAAGCTTGACTGAGGCTGAAAACTGCTATTTACCCCTCACCTAAAACTGATTTTCCATCAGAGATAAGTCAACATTTGAGCAAGCCCTGTCTTAATGCCATGGTAAAATAAATGCACTGTCATTCACGACACCATGAAGAACTATTATGACAGACGATGAGGGTCTGATCAAATTAAAACACACTGCTGTCATTCTGCATTTTCTCCAAACCCCATCCATAGAAAACAGAAATAGGGAATGTTGCCAGCATCAAACCTGTTCAATGCTAGCTTTAACTAGATCAGACTTGACTCACTTCTTTTTTATGCTATGAACTTTCTACAATAAAATCAAAGGTGCCACACTGGAAATCCCTCACCACCCCAGCAACCTCATGGAAGAGACTCACAGTGTGGCGAAAATGCCCATCTTTGCTCTAGTTACCCACGACTTGTAGCAGGCTAAGAAGTGCAAGTAAGGCCAGAACTCCTGGTGTGGCCAGTGTAGGGACCAGACAGACCACTCTGCTCAGCACTCCTGAGAGCCCCCAACCCCAAGTCAGCTACACTCCTGCTAACATGGGGGAAGGGAAGGTCTAGAGGAAGAGCAGCAGCAGAAGTATCCATAAAGGCTAGCCACAAAGGGTTACTGATCTCCTGGCCAACAGCCACAGCCTAGACCAGGTCAACGGGATTTCTATCAACATGTCTTCCTCCCACTATTAAAACAGTAATACTGGGTCAATCAAAAAAACTCCAAGAGTAATACAAACAAGTGAATTGAGCCTTATGCCAGGACCCTAAGGCACAGACTCAATTCAAATTAACAACTGAAGACAGTGAAATGGGGAGAACAAAGCCCATCAGAACAAGAATAATTCAACTTTATGGATGGGTCTCAGTTGTACATAGAAATCTTGGGGAAAGTGAACCTCATTCAAAGCAATGTCATTAGCACTGAAAGAGCAGAGGCACAGCTCACCTGGGATCCAGCCGTAAGGAATCCAACTGCCATTTCTTGGTCTCTGGTGTTCACTGAGGGGAAGCCAGGACCAGCCTGAAGAATTGGCAGACCTGAGCAGGGGGAAAAAAGCATGAGCAGAATCAGTGCTATCTTACAGTTAGCTCCTTCAAAGGTGTCCAATGTCTGACACAGAAACCCAGGAACCAAAAGAAAACTCCAGATAGGAATTTGTGTGTATCCTACCCTGTTCTCAGCTGGGAAGATGGTCTCAACCCAATTACACCTATCTCTTCAGAGCTATGCATGATCCCTACTCTGAAAATAATTCCCCTTGAGACTCAGTAACAGAATAAAGGCACACATTACTTTTAGGGATATGGTTGATCTGCCTACTTCAAAATATCTCTACATGTCAGCTAAATATTCCTGATGGTTTCAAAAAGGAATGTGAGGGAAAGGAGACAAATGACAAGAGAGCATGATCTCAGATATACCCTGAAGAAATTAAAGAGTTAAGGTACAGAAAACAATTTCATTTCATTGCTTCCCTACTAAAGTCAAGGAAGTAGCCAGAAAAACTCATAATTATGAGGCAGGACCCCCCCCCCCAAACCAGAATTATCTCTGGAGGGTGGGCCCCTTGAAATACAGGCTACCCCATCTCCATGAGTATTCAAGGAATCCATCTCTATCAGAGTACCAGCTGGCATTATTGTGAGAGGCTGAATTTGGCTTCAGTGAAGTTTTTTGAAGACTCTTTCAACGTGTTTGTTCATTTCATGACGGGTGATTTACGAGCTCACCTGCCCATACCACTGTGCATTCAGTAGTTTTTGAGCAAAAATGGTATGACCCCCATGTCCCACCCTCCCTATTCACCCAATCTTGCCCCAAGCAACTTTGTTTCCCTGGATGAAAAAAGTCATTACAGGTAACATTTTTGCTGATGTGGAAGAGATGAAACAAAAAATGGCAGAAGCACTAAAAGGCATCAAAATCGACAAGTTCAAAAACTGTTCTGAGCAATGGAAAAAAGGCCTAATAGGTGTATTGCATCAAGTGAAGAGTACTTGAAGGTGGCTAAAGTTTAAACATGTAAGAATAAATAATTTTTTATAAATAAATTCTGGGGATTTCCCCCTTCCTAGCCACCTCCCCCCCCACACACACACATACACTTTGCAGGTAACTTAATTTATCAATTGCTGGGTTTGTAAAGGAAAGAGGGAGGGAGAGGACACAAAGCACCATTTCCTGTGACCTTATTTCCTGTTTGCATCTTACCTTGCTCCTGGAAGGCCTGTGTCCCAGCACCAGGGTCCTGATTGAGGTGCTCCTCAGTGCCTTGTTCTAGGCCTTGAACTCCTTCCCCACGGGGCATCCCCCACTCAGGCTTGACTTCCACTGGCCCCAGGTGGACACCAGGTTCCCAAGTGCTTCCGCAAAGTGCTGTTTCCTCCTGCTCTCCCTGCACGTGGCATGGAACCTAAGAATGGGCCCAAAAACCTATTTCAAATGAGGCCTGGTTATGAAAGGAGTTGAACTAAAATCTAAAAAGAGAGCCAAGAAAAGAAGGATTCCAGCTGCAGGGGAGAGGAAGGACAAGCTGGCTCAGCTCTTCATCAGGACATTAGTGAGAAGGTGAAAAGGAAGCTAAACTACCCTCCTCAGGCTCTGAGCAACGTTTCTGAGTCCATACCATTTTACAAGGATCCCTTCTGTCTGCCTCAAATACAGATCAAATTCTACCATGAAAAACATCACAAAGAGCCTGAATATGGTTTCCCTACTAGAAAAAAAAAAACAAAACCTCCCCAATTACAGATGCTGAAAATAAAAACTACAAAGCCTAAACTCTGCCATAAATTAGCTGGTGAGAAAAAGTTGCTCTCTTCCTTCCCAGCCAGTGATCATGCAACTGAATCAGAGAGGCACAGAGAATGGCCAGAGTCTCAAGGAAGCACCAGCAGAGTAGTTACTTGGCATCACCAGAATACCACCACAGAAGCACTGTGTGAGCCACATGAGCCGAGGTCCCAGATGTGGAAACAGCATCATTTCAGACAGCTCTTCTTGGTGAGAATATTCACAAAACAGACTTCCCGACATTCTCACATACAGCTCTGTGCAAAGAGGAACGGGTCTAGAAGGAACCTTGGAATCTATCACATCTGCCTTCTTTGAGCCTGAGACTCACAAGGGACATATGGGCAGCCTTCTGCCCTGATGACCAAAAAAGAAGCCCTGGGAATGGCTTCTTTTTGCCGAAAACTCCACTGCCCTCCAAAAAGTACCTCTGGGAGTATAAGCACAGAGATTCTGCATCTAACCCACCTCATGGTTCCTCAAACCTCTCAATTCTTTAAATCTCCCCCATCACACCAACAAAACAAGACCTGAGACTCCCTTCTCACCCACCGCCTTGGCCTCCAGTGCTCTCTCTGTGAAGTCCTCCACCATGGCCACCAGGGCCTTGCCACTCTCCGGGCCATGCTCCCGAATCCAGGTATAGAACTCCCGGGGCAGGATGGTCAGAAACTGCTCCAGGACCAGCAGCTCCAGGATCTGCTCCTTGGTGTGCAGTTCAGGCCGTAGCCACTGGCGACAGAGCTCCTGGAGTTCCCTGAGGGCTTCCTGGGGACCAGCTGCCTCCTGGTAGCGGAACTGCCGAAACCTCAGCCGGAAAGTCTCAGGACTAGGGTCCTCCCTTCCCCTGCCCCATGGCAGTTCTTTCTCCAATTTTACCACAGGAACACCTATCTGCTGCTGCTGAGGATCTTCTGCCATCCCTGGATGCTCTTTAAGCATCTTCGCACTTCCACCCAGAAGACTGAGGGTCTGTTGGGAAAACCAGACAGACAATGACCGTGAGACACAGACCAGTCCATCCCAGTTGTCTCTACATCAATGAATATTCTGCTGGAAAACATGTGAATTACCTTCTGTGAGACATTTTCAAAAGATGAAACATACATCTTGAAACTCACATCAGTTCAATTCAGTATTTGCGAACCACTTAGTGTGAGCAGAGAGTAAATATAAAATGTATAAGGTTTAGCTTATACCCACAAATACCTAAGGATCCCATTAGCGAGGTAAAACTACAATCAGAGGATGTAAGATGGGTAATAATTAGTTCAGTCACCTGGTCCTACTCTTCCAAAACTAAAGGAAATAAACATTCAATACATATATATGCCAGGCCCATAGAAAGTAGAAATATAGTAGAGAGTAAGAGAAACCAGGTGCTTATCCCCTGAAACTCATACTAGTGCAGCAGAGAGAAAAGAACAAATGTAAGCAAATAAATTAAAATTATAAATGAGGATAAGTTCTAGAAAGGAAATAAGTAAGGTTCTCTACTAATGGGGGACAACTTCAAGAACACTTTTCTGAAGAGATGACACTTAGGCTGATACCTGCAGGATGAGAATGAGCCAGTCCTTCAAAGAACATTCCAGGCAAAAGCTTTGAGGCTAGAAATTACTCTGTATGTTGGGTAACAAACCAAAGTGGCTTCAGCAGAGTACATTAGGGGCAGAGCTATACAAGAAGTAGTAGCAGAGACAGGAAGAAACCAAATTATCCAGAGCCTGGGCCACAGTAAGAATTACGGGCTTTACTCCTATTTCTTGTTTTAGTGGGGAGCTACATGTTTTACAAAGGCCACTTTACCTGCAGTATGACAAGAATTACTGAGGGAAAGGAGGGAAGCAGCACTTACTGTGGTTCAAGCAGGAGATGACAGGACTTATATCAGGATGGTGGCAAAGAAGCAGACAAAGTTAAGACATATCATGGAGATAAACCAAATAGACTTGCTGGTGGCTTGGGTGTGTGCTCAACCTAAAGACAACAGAGCAACATATATACCATTTCTAACTTGTGTAGGCTTTACCATTTAGAAAGCATGTGAACACATACTCTCATTTAATACTTACAACAATTCTGTATGGTGAGTACTATTTCTCCTAGTTTTCAGATGAAAAAAACTGAAGAGGAAGAGGTGAGATGGCTGGCTGAGGTCGACATTCCAAAATATATAGTTTAGATGAGAAATATGGGAAGCCAAAAAGAGAAAGATAATTGTAGGTTCAAGAACTCCTGAAAAAGAAGAGGCTTCTTCTAGACTGGAGAATGCACGCAGAGGGGGTGACAGGCTGGGGAGACAGATCTGCAAGTCCAAAGCGGGTAAAGGGCTCGGCTTTTAGGGGAAGAGATCACTCTAAATGGAGCAAAGAATGAACAACCGGCAGGAAGCACATCCAGTTTCTGTTCAATATTCTATTAGATATTTATGTATTTTTCTACTCTTCTTAAACCTATTTTACATTTTCAGTCTATTCATCTTCTCTCCTGCATTGATTGTTCATGATTTTCTAGCTGTTACATTTATTTTAGCGCAAATGTTTACCAATGGGTCTCTGCCTACCAGATTCCCTGAAGAAATGCCCTCACTCATCTTTTATTCCTCATAGCTGACAAATAGAAGGCATCCCATTGCTATTCATTAAAAGTGTCCTACGTATTGCTCTATAATAACTACGTTCACTTTTCAGAGTTCCATTTTGGTTCAAGGTCTCGAGTTCATGGACAAGAACCCAGCATTAGGCCGACTCTGGCCGGGCGGGATCTACATCGCTCCTATGTGAGCCAACCGCGGGAGTCCCCCTCCCCCAGCCCTGGGTCCCAGCCCGCCAGGCCTTGGCACCGGGGAAGGCAGCTCCGAGGAGATGCGCCTCCCTCAGCGTCAGTGCCGCCGCTGCTGCACCCAGAAACTGCATCACAGCCCGGGCCCGGAGCCCCGACCACCGCCATTCTTATGGGACCAACCGAGCTCTCACCCAAGTCCCCGCACCCGTGCCCACGCCAGCCTCCCCAGTGCCCTCCACAGACCGGAAGTGGGTCTCGGACTCTGTCAGACAGGTGCGTAAGGAAAGGGCCCCTTCCGTTTCCTCTCTAGGACTCTCGGAGGTCAGAGCGTCTCGATGGTCGCTCATCCTCTTAAGCCTTCGAAGCGTGGCTGGCGGGCGGGCGGGCGGCTCTTTCCTTGGCTAAGTGCGTTCCTCGAAGCTCTCGGTCGCCGGGTTTCTTTGCGCCTTCATGCCTTTGCACCTGCTTTCCCTCTGTGGGATGGACTCTCCAGACATACACGGGACACGGCCCCTCCCTTTTAGGAGGTTTACAATCCAGTAGGTCAACACGTGTTTTTTCCTTCAGCCCTGCTGCTTACTGCACTGTGTAGGGGCCGAGAATGTCGGTTGAAAGAACTTAATACATGTTTATATGAGAGGCTCGATAGCAATAGTTGGGGGCGGATAATCAGGGGAGTCTTACCGGAGTAGGCAAATGCAATTGGATTTCAAGGGTGGACCAAAAAAATGAGGTAAGTGTCCCCAGCAAAGGTAACACGACGAGCCCACCGAGTGGGGAGGAATTAAGGCATTCTTGAAACATCAGAGTTACTGGAGCAGACGGTTAAAATAAGTACTTCAGAAGATAACCTGAAGGCACTAGGAAACCGTGGAAAGGATTTAAGGTGGAAAGGAACCTGTTTTAGAAAGATGCTAGGAGAAACTATGAGAAAAACTGAACAGAGGAAATGGAGATCCAAAGTTGTCACAACAAAGGGCCCCCGGGCTTTTGGGCTGCCCTTGCTTTTCTCTGTCCTTATCTTGCTTTGTGTTTTGTACCTATGCCTTTCTCTCCCATCCAATCAACACCTGTTCTCTTCCAAGAAAACGTATCACCAATAAACTCTGCCAGCACACTCATGGACTTGCTGATCTATAATTCTTTACTGTGTGAGCATGAAGAACCAGGTTTCTCGCACAACAAACACCCTGAGCAGCTTGACTTGGATGACCTTCGTCTGGCAAAGCAAAAGGTTGCCCATTAGATAATGGTCAGAGCACATTCCTGGGTTCCTGGCAGTCCCCTGTTGAGGTGTGTGTGATAGGCAACTGATCCATGTACCTCTCACAGGTGAATGTTTCTCTTTCTCTTCCTCCCTTCTCCTCTCTCTAAAAATAAATGAAAAAAATCTTTTGCCCTAGTTGGTGTGGCTCAGTGGATTGAGCACAAGCCTGCAAACTGAAGGGTTGCTGGTTCCATTCTGTGTTAGGGCAGATACCTGGGTTGCAAGCCAGTTCCCCACTTGGGGGTGTGCAAGAGGTGACCAATGTTTCTCTCCATCTTTTTCTCCCTTCCTTCCCCTGGTGAACAAAATCTTTAAAAATATATAAATAAGCCCTGGCTGGTGTAGCTCAGTGGATTGAGCACGCGCCTGTGAAACAAAGGGTCACTGGTTCGATTTCCAGTCAGGGCACATGCCTGGGTTGCAGGCCAGGTCCCCAGTGGAGGACACATGAGAGGCAACCGCACATTGATGTTTCTATTCCACTCTCTCCTTCCCTTCCCCTCTCTCTAAAAATAAATTTTAAAAATATTTTTAAAAATATGTAAATAAATAAAATCATTAAAAAAATAAAAGCAGACAACTGATTGTTCATCTGAAAAAAGATAACATTGGGTCCCTACCTTATACCAAATGTCAGGGTCAAGTCCAGCTGGTTTCACAGGGTCTCAGATTCTTTTATATTATAAATTACAACAACAACCCTATGTGGAAGTAGTGTCCGATAGCCTCCAATAGCTAACATGCACTCACATTCAAAAGGGATGAGACTGGAATATATCCAAAGCCCAAGAGAAACTCCCTGATTGGCTCAGGCAATCTGGGGAAAATGAACTATACCTAGTGATATAAAAAACATTCTTCAGCTTGCTATGGAGAAGAGACAGCAAAGAGGACATTCTGAAAGAGGCAGGAGATTGAATCAGATCATGGGTTTCCAGGTCAACTGTGGAGAGGAGAAAGGGGCTGCTCTGAATCAGAAAAGAATTAAAGGTGGGTGATGATCTAGGTTGGGGCTCAACAACTTCTTCTACGAAGGGTCAGGTAATAACTATTCCAGGTTTTGTGAGTCACATAGTCTGTTGAATATTATTCATTTTCACAGTCCTTCAAAGATGTAAAAACATCGTCAGCTCACAGCCAGGGCTGGATTTGACACAAGGGCTATATAGTTCATTGACTCTTGAAATAGCTTATTTTTAAATTGTTCTAGAGAGTTTAAACAAACTCTAAAGAGTTCGTTCTTGGCCTCTTTTCTCAGTGATGTTATCTGCTGAGAGTACAAAGGACAATGATAATCTCGGACCGTCAGTAATGGAGCAATAGTTGGAATATCTGTTGGGAGGAATGATGTAGAAAAAAATGTAAGGTGAATGGAAAGATTGTGAAACAACACTAAACACCCATGTGAGATTCAAAACAAAACAGCAAGTGCTAGAATCAATCTACACAATTGCTTGTGCAATCTGGGGGCAGAGCTTCAGAAAACAAACAGATTAATCCAATATTGGAATTTGCCAAAATGATTACAAAAATGCCAAATGGAAGGCAAGGAGGGCTCTGATGGCAGGTTGTAGTGAGTGACTGTGGAATCCAAGCTAAGCAGAGAGGAGTGCTGGAAACGAATAAGAAAAACAAAGAGAAACTAAGGAATCCGAGGTTAGGATGAGGCCATGAAGCAGGTTTCATGAATTTTTCAAGAAATGTTATAGGCAAACTAACTGTACATATCCTTTCTGTTTTCCACAAACAGAAATTTTGCTATATTCTGTCTGCACTTTGCTTTTTACTCAGTAAACATATCTTTCCAAATCTACACATGTTGACCTACCTCATTAATATTTTGTTGCATGTATTTCCCATAACTAATTCGTTACATAACTTATGAAGCTTATTGGTGGACATTTAGGTTGTTTCCAACTTAAGGATTTACCACATATCTGGGATGAACATTATTATATATAATTCCTTGTGCACTTTTTGTAAATAAATCTAAAGGATCAATTCCTGTACATGGAATTGCTGGGCCTAAAAATTATGTGCATTTTGAATTGTCAGCTATTGTTGCCAAATTATCCTGCAGAGTTCAGATTTCTACTCCCCAAAACACTTGGGGATAATGTTCACTTCCCCACAATTTCGTCAACATTGGATGTTACCAAACTTTCCATCTTTGCCAGTATGATAAGAGAAATGTGCCCTGATTTTTATTTGTATTTCTTATTTATGAGTGAAGTCAATCATTATTCCTAGCTTCATTAGTTACTTGTAATTCTTTTGCTTGAACTGGCTATTTTTATCCTTTCCTCTGTTTCTGTTGGGTTATTTATCTCTTACTGATATGAAGGGTTTTTGGACATGAGAGGAATTAGCCCAAAAGAAAATATTTTGCTATTTGTCTTTTGCCTTTCTTAATGAAATTTCATGCACTGCAAGATTGTTTCGTGGATTCAAATTCATCTTACCTTTTTAAAAAAATATTTTGTGCTTTGTACCTTCTGTACTCCAAGATGATTTTTTAAATTCCCCCATATGCCCTTCCAATATACTTAGGATTTTATCTTATTTGTGCCTGAAATGCATCTAGTCAAAGAAAAACAATAGAAATCCAGCCTCCCCTGGACCCCTTTTTCCAAATGGCTAGCAAGCTTCCCTCAACACTACTGAAGAATAATCTATTTTTCCTTATTAATTTAAAAGGCCAATTTTATCAACCATTATATTTCTATGTAAAATTGCCTTTATATTTGGACTCCTATTCTGTAATCTATCTGTATCCTGTGTCAAGACCAAACAAATTGTTTTAATTTCTACAGTTGTATAATATCATTTATATTTGGAAGAGCTTTTCTATATCATTGGTTCTTCTTTCCCATGGTTTAAAGAGATTTTTGGAGGAAATTTAAAAATAGTTGCCTGAAAACTATAAAGGAAACCAGACAGTCCATCCTCATGCTCCCAGCCTGGAGAGCTCAGACTATACCCAAGGGAAATGGCATTGTCCTAAAGAAAACACTTCAGGAAAGGTAAGCAAATGAAAGCTTATTTTTTCCTAGCAAAGAACATGGTACTGAATGTACTGACAGCATTGTGAGGGACTGAGAAGAAGGAAGGGGGAAAGGGAAGAAGGAAAAGAGAAAGGGACAAGAGGGACAGACAGAGAGGAAAAAGTATCTTAACAAAAGAAATGAGATGAGGGTATTGGGTGAAACACAGGAAAGGAGAGGGGAGGACAGAGGCTGTCATTACCATGGAGAAGAAATAGAAGAGGCAGAGAGATTACTTAAAAACATTTAAAAACCTGTTCTGAACATCAGCAGGCCTGGGCTGTCAGGCTTGACATTGGAGTTAATACTTCACCTCTCTCGTCCTTTATTAACAATATGGGTAGAATTATTTCTGTCCTGTCTTTAACAGGCCAAAGTAAAATGGCAGATGCGAAAGCTGTTTTAGCATTAATTACAGAAATAAAGGTTATAGGTGTTCAAAATGCTGATATGGACAGTTTTGGATATTTGATTTACATTACCCAACTTAGCCTTTAGGATTTAACATAAATTTTTCAATAGGTATATTTCCATGATTCAAGAGTCAAAACCATATAAAAAGTTACACAAAGAATTATTGCTCATACCTCTACCCACTCCGTGCACACTATTCCATAATCTACCCCCATTTCTAAAGATTAGTTTTTTTGTATGGCCTTCAAGTGTTTATTTATTTACAGATACTAACATTCATACATTTTCCCTATCTCCTCTCCTCTCACACAAAAAGGACATACACTAGATGCCTTGCTTCTTATCATGTAATATGTCCTAGAAAATATTCATCAGTGCAGAGACCTTTCTTTTTTTTTAAAGCTGGTGTAGAGATAACAATTTATTTAAAATGTCCCCCTACCAATGGACATTTGAGTTGCTTCTAATCATTTATTACAAATTGCTGCAGCAATAAATAACTTGTACCTATGTCATATTAAAATTTGTGTGCAGGCATATCAGATGGATAAATTCTTAAATAGAGAACGTTAAAGCATCAATGCTAACATAGTGTTGTAGATATTGCCAGATTCTCAATACAGGTTGTATATCATTTTGCACTTCTATCCACAACATAGGACAGCGCCTGTTTCCCCACAGCTTAGCCAACCAAATGTGTTGCATTAAACTTTTGCCTTTTGCAAATCTCATAGAAATAGCATTTCAATGTAGTTGTCTCCATTTTTTGAAAAATTTGCATTTCTTTTCAACACATTATTTAATATTTTAAAGTTTGTGTTTGCTAACCCCAATACTGAGAGCATTGCATCTACTTCTATTGGTTATTTTTTCTCTTGTCGGTCACATTTTTACATGTCTCTTAATTTTGCATTGTATGCCAGTGTTTGTGCATAATGGAAGAGGCTCCAGGCCTCCCATGATGAGGCAGTGCTTTGTTCCAGAGTATCTATTCCATTAAAAAAAAAGCACTGCCCCATCATGGAAAGGGTTGCCCATTGTGTGTCAATTTTCCCAAGTAAATGTTACTCCTTTTAAATACAAAGGAACTTTATTTCAGTATTTTAGCTTTAAATATTGGTTCTGTCCCTTTATTTCAGTTTTCTTCCTCATGGACCCCAATTTTACATATGTTGGATCTTCTTTACCTATCATATCTTTCTCTTTCTCTCAAATCCTTTATTTTCTTCACTTTTATTATTCTTAATACTTTATGTCTCTTACTGTTCTGGTATCTATTCTCCTTGGTGTCAATTGTAATTTGGTCTTCATTTCTGACTCTTTCCAATTCTTTCTCTTTTTTAATTTTTTAATTAATACTCATCAGAGAACATGTTTATTGGTTTTTAGAGAGTGACGAAGAGAGAGTGTGTGTGTGAGAGAGAGACATCATCGTGAGAAAGAACCGCTGACAGGTTGCCTCCTGTACGTGCTCCAACTGGGGATCGAACCCATAAATTAGGTATGTGTCCAGACCAGGGATTCAACACACAATTTTTTGGTGTGTGGAACAACACACCAACCAACTGAGCCACCTGACTGGGGCTCCAGTTCTTTCTTGAATTCTAACAGTTTCTATTTCATATCCTTGTTATATGGCTCTCACCTTCTGTTGTGGGAACATTTCTTCTCTAAGTTCCTATAATTCTGAATTGCAGGCTTTCCCCCCCTAGCTGCAACTGCTTCATTGAGTGTTTAATTTGTCTTGGAATGTTGGATTTAATTTTCCTCTATTTTGTGACAACACTTTTCAGTTGAGTTTTTTTCATGTTCAGACTTTTGCTTCTCTATCTGCATTTTCCTATAATATCCTTATATTGACACTGGTGTTTTACTCTTTTATTTGAATGAGTTTGATTTTTCTGGACCAGCTATTCACAGATGGATACTGTGGAAAGGGGGTTGGATAAGCATAACATTCCCAGTCTCAGTGCAAGGGCTTTTTCTCCCATTGCTACATTGAGGGATACTTTCTTTAATATAACAGTGCCCATGCAGCCAGGATTCCCCTGATTCTTATATCCTAACAGCTCAAAAGAGCTTATACTACCATTCACTTCCTTCCTTCTATTCTTCATCTGTCATTGCTATGAAAAGATACTGTCACCTGCCTTCCAAGATGGTCTCCTCTCTTTTACAAGTGGTGCTTTTTAAATCTTTCCCTTTATGGACTCCCATGCACTTTCCATGCCTTCTCTGTCTCCTCAACACACATGCCCCATGTTTCTCCTCTATCCTACTCATAGCCATTCCCTCTCAAAGTGAGTCCTTCTCAGACATCTGAAGGTTAATATTTACTAATAACTTTTGGAAAATGCCACCACTACAACGCCTATATATTTATGGACCTACCCCAATGTGCCCACCATACCACTCTTCCAGTTGTGACTTCCCATATTGGTTCTGCTGGTTGAGGTTGGTTTAGGCCACAGTTGTATACCTTAGTTTGTAGATTTCCTCTAACCCTAGTTTCACTGATAATAATAGTTCCCATATGGATTTTTTTAGGAGGAAAAGTGAGACAACTGGAACTAGACTGTCACCATATCCCTATGAGAAATTCCCAAGATACCTTTTGAAGAGAAATGTAAGAAAATAAAAATATATACAATTAAAATGCCTAGTGGCTGTTTTTCAGGTAGGTATGTCTTAGCTTTTCTGCTTGGTGTAAGCATCTGGAGAACAGGAACTGGTTCTGATACCTCTGTGTACCACCACGGTGACTGCACAAGGTCAGCCTGCCCTGAACACTATTTAACAGTCTCAACAGAGCCCACTTGACTCTAGCCATGCTCGTCACATTTCTTCTCCAGAAGGACAGACAGGACTCCCTGGACTTATTTTTGAATTTACACTGCTTAAGTTCTAGGAGCTTCTTCCACATATATCTTCTTTAGAGAGAGATACGGGGAGGCATTGTTAGTTGGTGTGACTGACATGAAGGGTCTTGGGTCACTCTTCTGGCCTCCCCATTGCCCCAAAGCATTTGTACTTCCCAGTGACCCTCATCCTAGCTGGGAGGCTGAGTGCTCCCCAGTCTTCAAGCATCATCAGGAGTGTGAATGGAGCACACTGGAGGTTCAGTCAGGAGGCTTTTGACTCTGGTGAAGGACAGAATGCCAATACACTGATGGCTAACTTGCCTTATGCTTTCCTCAGAGCAATGACTCATTAGGCTCAGGCTTCCAGACCTGGGAACTCAATCCTATAGATGTTTTCACCTTTAACCACTCCCACCCCTTCCTCTCAACACACACTCAAGAAAAGTTTCTAGTTTGGCTGGGGTACAGGGGAGTGGTGGTGGGGGGGAATGCAGACAACTGTAACTGAACAACAATAAAATAATTTAAATAAATAAATAAGTTTTCAGTACCAAGTCACACTTTTGTATAGGGACATCACCTTTTCTTTTAATATGACTAACACAACACCTTCTGTTGTGGTTACATTCTGTTCAGCTTTTGTCTTATGAAGATCATTTCGTCTTGATCATTTTTTAATATTCCTCCCTCCCCTCCTGCCCTCCAACCAGGTTTTTGAGGAATGGATTAACAGAAAGTAGTCCTTCTTTTATTGAAAACACCTGCAAAAAAAGGGAAAGAAGGGAGGGAAGAGAAAGGGAAATCACTCAGGAAGTTCAAAATTCAAAAAATATAAACAAATTTCAAATATGAAAAAATTCAAATATGAACAAAATAGATCACTGTATAAGGAAGCAGAGCATTAATTCAACCCTCAAGAAGCTTATTAAAAGTAGTGGAGATTGGCAGAGGAGGGAGAGCCACTCACACGGCTCAATGAAGGGTAGAGGACAGACTCTCCTGGACTAGATAACTGTCTCTTCCTTCAGCAGGGTCTCCTTTTGTATTGAGCTCGGTCCTCCTCCCAAACTCTGCAGATTCTCCAGGTGCGGGATCTCTTCAGTCTCCTCAGTATTCCGGGAAATGGGTAATAAATGGCTCCTAAGGCAGGCTGTTTCTTGAAAGAGGCAGATGGCACCTAGGCAACAGCAAAAGTTTGATTCATTGAGGAACAAGTATGAAAGACACAGAGATGAGGACTGGGGGGGGGGGGGAATGGGAGGGAGGGGGGAAACCGGGCGGGGGGGGTGGGATGGGAGAAATAGATAAAAAAAAATGTACTTGAAAAGTAACTAAATAAAATTTAATATTAAAAAAAATTAAATAAAGTTGACTCTTAAAAAAAAAAAGTTTGATTCAGGTTAGAGAGAGTGTCATGCTTCACATCCTAGAGGTCAGGAACTTCCTCCACTAACACAACTCCTGGTCTGAACCTTCCTTCCCTTACACTCCCATCCACCAAAGGGTACTGTAGAGACAGAGGGGAAACAGCACCAGAAGACAAGGCACACAAACAGATGGATATGCTCACAAAACCACAGCCAGTGCTGGAACTAGCCATTGTCTAACCATTAACAAGTGAAAAACAAGGTTTAAGAGAGGAAGGTCAAACACAAACCAAGGCCCTTTGAGGCCCAACTCAAGAGCCTTACAAAAGAAAGGAAAAGAGAATTGATGTTCATGAGAATAAATGAAGATACCTTAAGAGAATGGTAAATGCTGTATTAATGTTAACACTAAGATAAAAGACAACTTCTGTTATCAATCAGCATTGTAGCAGACTAGGTACTCTTCTATGAAAAAAACCCAAAAATTTCTAAATAAAATATTTCTTCAAAAATGTATTTATAAATGCACCATCAGGCTGGCATCAGAGTAAAATATTCTTAGAATCCAAAACCACAGTGAAAACAGGAATCAGAGAATTAAGCAAGCATACAATTAGCTTTCACCTTGGAGATGCACAGGCAACCCAGGTGACTCTGACTTTCCATTCTCTTGGCCATTTGGGGCACAAAAAACCAGTAGAAAAAGCCCACGACATACTTCAGAGGAAATGCTAATAAAAGTCTTCCATATAAAACTGGAACTTCAAAGTTACTTGTATTTACTAAAAATTTGTAAACATAAGCTAGGTGTTAGTGTGTCTGCAGCTAAATTCATAATACCTATGTATTTCGTTTGTCATCCTAGGCTAGTTGTTCCAGGCAGATGCAAATGCAAATCTTTCTCTGAGTAAACGCTTTAAACACAGGCCTCAAAGAATTTCTACCAAAAAAAAAAAAAATTTCCAAGGGAAACTAATTCACTGTCAAAAAACATAAAACATACCAAGAAATAAGACATCACAACCAAAAGTCTGCATAAACAGCAGCCAATAGACTCAGACCTGCAAATAATTTAATACGAAACTTATAAGACACAAAATGTAAAGTAAGTCCATTTAGCGTGTATAATGAAAATATATTTAGAGAATAACTTTAAAATATTAAGGACAAGAGACTATAAAATACAACGTTTAGGGGAAAATACAACTTCTAATTATGAAAATAGATTAATTGAAATAAAAATTTAGTGAATAGGTTAAATAGCAGATCAGACAGCTAAAAAGTAAATGAGTGAAACTGAAGATATCTTTATTCAGAATGCAGCCCAGAAAGACAAAGAGAAGGAAAATATGAAAGAAATAAAAAAGACATGCAGGAGAGAGTAACAAGGTCTAACAGAAGTCTTCCTGGAGTTCCACAAAGTGAAAAAAAAAAAAAAAAAAGAGAGAGAGAGAGAGGATTGAAATGTTCTAGAAATACTGAAAGCTACTACTCCTCAGATTTAGTTCACTTACAAACACTAACATAAATACCCATATCCTGAAAAACACCAGACAAAGTCTAAGAGAAAAAGAAAGAATGCCTTAAAAAAAGAATATTTTTACAGAGACCCAACTTCTCAACAACAATGGAAATGGGAAAATAATATCTTGAATGCTCAGAGAATAACTGTCAACTCACAATTGTGTGTTTGGCTAAATTGACTTTAATGAACAAATTCCATACAAACAAAATATAAGTGTATTGCTAATTGACTATTCATTAAAAAGCATTATAAAGAATATATTTCAAGCAGAAGAATAATGATCTTAGAAAATCTAAGAAGGTTGTATGAGCAACTAAGCTAGTAAATATATGGGTTAATTTAAACAAACAAATATTAAATGCATAAAATAATTCAAAATGTATAGATTCAAAAAGAAATTAAAACACTGGAAAAAATAGCATATAAATTGAGAGTGAGGAGTCCTTGTATTATTTATGAAGAGAATAAATATGTTGATTATATTTCAACTTTGTTGTATAAGCATTTTAAAATGTCAAAAGTAACTACTACATGAATAAAAACAGACCATATAGCTTCCAAACTAAAAAGGGGAGAAATGCAACGAGAACTGTATACATAAAATTCAACCAATCCAAAGCAAGGCAAGAGAGTTGGGGTAAGAGGTGAGCATAAAAGAACTGAAAGTACAAATGACGGTGATAGAAAAATATATATATATATCAGTACTCACAATAAATATAAATCACTAAATGCTCCAGTTAAAAAGATTATAAGACCAGATTTTTAAAATCCAGTTATAAGCTATTTATAAGAGATATCCAAACCATGAAGACAGAAAAGTTTTTAAGTAAAAGACTTAAAAAATGTAACAGGTATATACTAACCTAAAGAACATAGAACTAGTGCCAAGAGATGGAGGCTTAGGTAGACACACTATGCCTCCTCACACAACAAAATAAGGACAACAGTAATTTAAAAACAAAAAACTACCAGTACCTACAGAAAATTAAACTGTAAGGAAATCCGACAACCCAAGAGTTAAAGTAGGCACATTTATCCAGACCGGTAGGGGGTGGAGTTGGGCAGCTTGGACAGAGACAGTTCTCTTGGCTCTCAGCTCTTGGCAAAGTGGTGGCTGGCAGACCCAGTGAGGTGGCAGATTGTGTAGGGGCATGGTGCGAAAGGAGGCTGATGGACCAGGCGGTCCCACATTCTCACGCAGATAAACCAGGCAAAACTGCAGAGTGAGACAGACCGTGCAACACAGGGTCCCAGCGCAGGGACATAAAGCCTCAAAGCACTGATTGAAAACACCTGTGGGGGTTGACTTGCCGGGAGAAACCCCCAGCCTCACAGGAGAGTTCCTTGGAGAGACCCATAGGGTCCCAGGATATATACAACCCCACCCACCCAGGGATCAGCACTGGAAGGGCCCAATTCTGCTTGTGGGAAGTGGCAGAAGGGGCTGAAAGTTGAGAGAGAGCGGAGCAAGAGCCATTGTTCCCTCTCTGACCCTGCCCCCACATACAGCATCATAACCCAGTGACTGGGTTGCCCCACCCTGGTGAACACCTAAGGTTCCGCCCCTTACTATGTAACAGGAGGGTCAAGACAAAAAAAAAAAAAAGGCCCAAATGAAAAACCAGATCAAAACTCCAGAAAAAAATACAAATAAGCAACAAAGGTAGCCAATCTATCAGATGCACAGTTCAAAACACTGGTAATCAGGATGCTCACAGAACTAGTTAAATTTGGTCACAAATTAGATGAAAAAATGAAGGCTATGCTAAGTGAAATAAAAAAAAATGTACAGGGAACGAATAGTGATGGGAAGGAAACTGGGACTCAAATCAATGGACCAGAAGGAAGAAAGAAATGACCAAACAGAAAAGAGTGAAGAAGCAAGAATTCAAATACATGAGGAGAGGCTTAGGAACCTCCAGGACATCTTTAAATGTTCCAACATCCGAATAATAGGGGTACCAGAAGGGGAAGAGGAAGAGCAACAAGTGGAAAAGTTATTTGAACAAATAATAAAGGAGAACTTCCCCAATCTGGCAAAGGAAATAGACTTCTGGGAAATCCAGGAAGTTCAGAGAGTCCCAAAGAAGTTCCTCCCAAGGAGGAAAACACCAAGACACATCATAATTACATTAGCCAAGATTAAAATGGAAGAGAGAATTCTAGAAGCAGCAAGAAATAAGGGGACAGTCACCTACAAAGGAGTTCCCATCAGATTGTCAACTGATTTCTCAAAAAACACCTTACAGGCAAGAAGGGGCTGGAAAGAAATATTCCAAGTCATGAAAGACAAGGACCTACATCCAAGATTGCTCTATTCAGCAGAGCTTTCATTTAGAATGGAAGGGCAGATAAAGTGCTTCTCAGATAAGGTCAAGTTAAAAGAGTTCATCATTACCAAGCCCTTATTATATGAAATGTTAAAGGGACTTATCTAAAAAAAAGAAGATAAAAAACATGTACAGTAAAATGACAGCAAACTCATAATTATTAACAACCACACCTAAAACAAAAACAAAAACAAACTAAGCAAACAACTAGAATGGGAACAGAACCACAGAAATGGAGATCACATGGAAGGTTATCAACAGGGGAGTGGGAGGAGGAGAGAAGAGAGAGGGGTAAAAGGTACAGAGAATAAGTAGCATTGATGGTATGTAGAAAATAGATGGGGAGGGTAAGAATAGTATGGAAAATGTAGAAGTCAAAGAACTTGTAAGTATGACACATGGACATGAACTAACGGGGGAATGTGGGTAGGAGCAGAGTATGCAGGGTGAAGGGGGAAAATGGGACAACTGTAATAGCATAATCAATTAAATATATTTTAAAAAGAGAATGTAGCAGTACCTAGTAATATTAGATAACAGACATTACCACAAAAGCATTGCTAGACATAAAAAGGATAAAAATTAAAAGTTTAATTCCCTAGTAAAATATAACAATACTAAATCAAGATTTAAACAACATAATAAACTTGATCTAATGTTTATAGATAAAATTGCGCTCAACATGAAAAATAAAAACAGACCTTTAGGCTATAAGGCAAGTCTCAATGAATCTGAACATATTAGGATTATATAAACCATGACCTTTCATCAAATTGAAATTAAGTTAAAATCATAAACACAGAAGACATGGCTCAATGGATTGAATGCCAGCCAGCCTGTGAACCAGGGGGTTGCTGGTTTGATCCCCAGTCTAGGGCCCATGCCTGGTGTGTGGGCCGGGTCCCTGTTGGGACGGGGGGGGGGGCGGTGAGAGGCAGCAATGCATTGTTAT